TTTTTTTTTTTTTTGCTGGGACTGCTGCAAGGTTCCCGCTGCTCCCTTCTGGCCTGAGTGGACAGGGCAGTACAGGGGCACGGAGGGAGCAGGTCACGACTCCTCGTTGCCAGAGTCGTCGTCGTCATAACAGTCGGCGTCTTCTTCCTCTTCATCCTCATCGTCGATGTCGTCATCGTACAAATCGTCGTAGAGCAGATCCGAGCTGTTGTCGTTGGAAGGCACTTTAGTTTTGATGCAGTACTCTGCCAGCGTCGTGGGGACCTTCACGCCGTCCTTCTCCGCCTCCGCCTTGGTGGCCAACACCTGTTTCCTGTGGGGGGGAGGGACAGAAGACAACAGCATGAACACAGGGTTTGGATACTCAGGGGCTTTTGCTGTGTTGGGGGCACCAGGGGTGAACAGGCCTCTCTGGTCACTGGCAGGGAAGCCCTTCAAGCGCTGGCTCAGGACACAAGCTGGTGCCAGGGCAGGATTGTTGGATGCCAGGCTCCACGGTCAGTTCCACCTGTACGGCTTCCAGGGCCTGACAGAGCCAACACAGCTCTGTGGCTTCACACAGGATCTGACCCCGGGGCCTATGGACCCCAGGCAGAAGTGCTCGGCCTTCAGCTGGAGCTGGGTTTCCCAATCTCTGCCCTATATGATGTGCTACCCCAAGCCACCTGCTACAGCTCGCTGCCGGGGCAGTCTGTAGTGTACAGCCCGCCCGGGAGGGTGAGGTACGCACACTGCTGTGCAAGATACGCTAAGCAGCCGGCTCCCGTCAGTGCCTCCGGCTGGTGCACGTAATAACAGAGCCGGTCTGAACTGCTTGCCTTGCCCCGCCGGACGGGTACAAGGGGGTAGCACAGTGGCTAGGGATGTGTGAGCAGGCATGTCTGACCATGCCATGCCATGGCAGAGCTGGGTGAGGTCCCACCACCCCTCTCGCACCACATCCGAGCCTGCAGGAGAAGCTGGGACCGGCTTCAGGAGACTTCCCCATGCAGGGGAGCAGCAGGCATCCAACATGGGAATGCTGTGATCAAGAGGTGGGAGAAGGGGGAGCCACCTGCTCCAAGCACCCGTTACCTAATGATTTCTGCATACTCCTTGTCCTTCCCTTTGCTGTCCCTCCATTTCCTGAACATGACGGATGCATCCACGTTGGCTGGAGAGAAGGTGTTGGGCTCGTTAAGCAGGGAGATTACGCTCAGCAGGATAGTCCTGGAACAGAGAGAGAGGTCAGGCCCTTGCAGCACAGAGCCAGGCCGTAGGGTGCTGCTCAAGCTGTGGCTGCTCCAGGAGGAAGTAACCCAGAGCGAGAGCAGCCAGCCCAATTGGGGGTGGTCATGTCCCCAGACGGGCTCTCCCTTCACCGGGAGGCTCGGTCTCTGCAATACAGCCACCCAGCCCTGCCAGGGGTGCCAGCCCGAGTCTTGGTCCTGAATCGATTCACTTCTTGACCCTGGCGTTCCAGATGCGGTACTGGGATCCCGCTCCCAGAGCTCCTGGCAGCAGCTTCTGGGCCCAAGGCACTGGTAGCAACCTTTGGTTTGCCAAGCAGCGCTGTGCTCCTGGGATGTAGCCTGTCCTGCTTGGGCAGGCGTGTGGGGCCTGGGGTGATCCAGGGACAACGTACTGTGGCCTCACGAGACCTACTGGTCTAAAGAGGCAGCAACCAACTACAAAATAAGTCACTATTTGTTTTAAAGCAGCAGCATTTATTCTTTATACCCGGCTTGCCCTTGTACCTCTGCCAGACCTCCCCCACACCACGTTCACTCGCTGAAAAAAACTCCCGTTTGGATTCTCACCAAGATGATCATTAGCATCTGGGCACGGTGAGCAGATGCTGCAATCCAGGCTAGGCCCAGGGCGAGCGTGTGAGGGGCTCATTGCAAACACCCCACCCCATCCTGGTAAGCCATAAAGCCAGAGGTCAGTAGCACAGGGCCTGCCGGCTCCATCATGGAGCACGGACGGGATGCAACCTTCAGTCAAATGAAGCATCCGGCATTTGACTTGTCTGCCCAGGCCAGGCACTGGGGGAGAGGACAGCTGCCAAGACCCAGTATCCTCCGAGTGACAGAATCCAGGAGGGGCCTAGGTCTTCCTGCCTGGCATCTGCAGGAGTCCCGCTTTACTTGCCTGAGCCTAGCACTATACGCGCTGGCCTACAGCTTGGACCAATGCACAAAGAATGGGGAAGGCAACTTCCCTGCAATCCCCAGCTGCGCTGCTAAGGGCCCATCTCATCTGAGCAGGGAGGAGGAGGATCTGCCAAAGCCAAGCACGTAACTCCTAGCAGATGGCCATGCATTAAAAAGGAGACAGAAGACACAGGGTTCACCCTTGCTGGACAGCATTTGAAGGAGATCAGGCTGCAGGCAAGAGGCAGCCGTGGGGCCACTTCACACAAGGCCAGTGCTGCCCAGCGGTTGTGCCGAACACCCCTGGTGTCCGCGTACCCCTGTGACAAAGGCACGGCAGGGACCCAAGTCTGCAGCCTGGCGTCCAGGCTGTGGTCAGGCCTGACCACATCTGCCTGCAGCTGCCCTGTGAACAAGAGCACTGGCAGCTCAGTGGAAGGACAGGGCGTACGAAACAGGAGACAAGAACGGGCCTCAGTCACAGACAGTTACAGCGCATGAAGCCACACACTCAGAGTACATTTCTTTATCCCAATAATACCCCGCTCCTTGTACATTTATTATAGGATAGCTTGAAAGATCGATTTCTCCATCAAAATCTACAGAGAGGGAGAAGGGGCACGCATACACACCGAGTACATTTCTTTGGCCCAATTATAAACAATATATATATTATATAATGGGATAAAGAAATGTACTCAGAGTTCATGGTTTCAAGTACTGTGATATATAATTTCCCTACTGAGGGAGGGGTCCAGGTGACCTCAGACTGCAGCGGAGGGGAGGCTTGGATCCTAGTAACACCACTGCTGCTCTTGATGGCAGTGCTGAGCTCAGTGAAGAAATAAGCGTTTGGCGCAGAGCCAGCAGGTACCACAAGGCAGCAGAATAGCAGGAGGACAGTCCCTAGGAAAGGGCTCGTTCACTGGGATGCCAAACAGGTTTCTCAAAAGCATCCAGCCACCCACATTTGTCAGGCTCCTCATCCAGCTCCGGGGAGTTTGGTCAGGCTTCCAGGATAAGCCGTGGCAGAGTCAGCAGGGAGGCAAAGCGATGCGAGTGCAAAGAACTGGAGCAAAACTGTTCTTTGTGGGGGCAGATGGCAGGACAAGGAGCAATGGGCTCAAGCTACAGCAAGGGAAGTTGAGGTTGGGTATTAGGAAAAACTTCTCACAAGGAGGGTGGTGAAGCACTGGAGCAGGCTCCCCAGAGCAGTGGTGCAGTCTCCATCCTTGGAGGTGTTTAAGACCCAGGTAGACAAAGCCTTGGCTGGGATGATGCAGCTGGGGCTGGTCCTGCTTGAAGCAGGGGGATGGACTAGATGACTCCTAAGGTCCCTTCCAGCCCTCATCTTCTATGAACTGCCTGATACACAGCAAAGATGCCCAAAGAAAAGACACCCTTTGCTTCCGACTTTAGCAGGAGCCTTGCTAGCTCTACCTTGGCTCCAAGTGGAGCGCTCCGATTTCCACAGGAAGGACGACTATGGCTCTACCAAGGTGCCTCTGGGCTACACAAGGTTAGCACTGTTAGGTGTACAAACGTGACTCACAAGATACTTCTGGAGATTTCGAACAGGAATCCAGTGCTAAAAGCATTTGACCCACCAGCATCTTTCTGAGTTCTTTGCAACAGAATTGCTCTAGTTTTTTGCTGGAGTCAGAGTGAAAAAGGAAGAGCTGGCATTTTCCAAGGGGAACCTTGAGTATAATAAAGAGTTCCTTGAGTCCCAAAAGGTTGAGAACCACTGCTCTGAACATCAATTAAGACTGGGCTCGATTCCTACTCCCATAAATAAGATCGGGACAGTACTTCTATGGAAGGGCAAGCTGAAACGAAAGACAGAAGCACACGGGGACAGTATCCCAGGCAGCTCCAGTTGTCGCTTCACCTCCCATCTCTGGAAGTAATGGGTTCATACACCACCGCGATGGCCTCTTGCATTCTAGATACAGCTGCAGGGTTCGCTGCCGGCCTAGAGTGCTGTGGCTGGGGACTGGACACCCTGACCAGGTGATGGGATATGAGCAGGCCCCAAGCCAGAAGATGAAACTGGTTAACGATCAGAGATGTAAAGCGACTCCCTCGGCTGCAGACCTGGACAGCCTGCGCTGGCCGACGGCAAGGTACAAGAGTCAAATAACCATGGGTGAGGAGAGGGCAGCTTGTCACCTCGTCAACACCAGCTTTACCAAGGCTGCTGGGATCCAAGCCTCCTCTCTTGGAGGCAGGGGTGCAGGTGACCTCTGACAGCAGCAAAGAGGGAGAGAAGGGGAAGCAGAAGCCCGAGCTGTCTCTGGGACCCAAAAGCAAGGTCACTCATTTTCCGACATTCTTCGGGACCCAGGATAAATCTCCCACATCTTCCTAGGGTGCAGAGAACCCCAACGGCTAAGAACTTCAGCCTTGGATTTCCACATGTGCCGTCAATGCTAAGAAAGCAACAGAAATGCAAGCTATGCTGAGGCAGAGTCTGTTACCAAAGCAAAGGCTGGTGCTTGGAGCCATACCCAGGGACTGAAGACCAGAGTGGGGCTGGGCTGGGCTCAGCACTGCGGACCATCACCAATTCCCACATCAGGCCATGAGCTACTGGCACGGCTAAAGTATCTCCAAGGACTTCCAGAGATCAAGAGATCCCAAAATCTACAGGCCAGGGGTTCCCAGTTACTTGCCTTCTTTATTAGAAGCATTTGCCTCCCTCCCTTCCAGCTTCCAGCCACTGACTCCTATTCCACCTTGGTCCAAGTCCCTGCCAAGACACCCTGCTACTCCGCCTTACTGTAGCCTTCTACCCTGGGAGGGAGGGAGGGGAACCAGCTTGTCCAGGGCTGCACAGGAGGTCTGGAGCCCAGGACACTCGCCTCGAACCCCAGGCAGCCACTGGAGCACTGACCTCCGTTGCCCCTGCTGCACAGCATAGGGCCCAACAGACTGGACTAGTGCCTGCAAAGAGGGAAGAGCGATGGCTCTGAACCTCTAAGCTGGCAGAGCTGTTAAATGTACCTCTTCAGCACTGGCCCCGAGGGATTACGAGATGCTGTGGCCATCTGCCTCGTGTGACCAACAAGCGTAGCTTCTGGAAGAGTTATGCTCATCCCAAGTTTTCAGAGGCATGTGGGCCTGGCTGCTCTGGGAAGGCATCTCTTTGAGAGCCTGCCATTACACCTCATGGAAACCTGCAGCTAATGGCTAGAGGCTCAAACTGTTCACTAGGACTTGGAGCCTGCAGAGTGCACACAGTCCATGGTGGGGGAATGGACCCCACAGTGTGCTCCCATCACCTCCCGCACCCTCCCCACCAGCCCATAGCACCCGGTCCTGCTTTCTGCATGAGAGCTGTGTTTGCGCAGTGCCCAGCCCGGGCCCTGGATACACTTCTGCTCAACGGCATCCACGTACCTCCTCTCTCAGCATCACCAATCACAGCTGGGAGCGGGACAGAAGGGAACAGGAATCCTTTGGGCCAAGCTTAGCTCCAGACTCCTGTAACCTCCCAAGATAAATCTATTGGGCTTTACCTGAGCAAACCTATGCAGGGCCCAGAGCTACTCCTTAACCAGGGCAAACAATGAGCCAGATGTTTGGAAACATGCTCTCTTCACAACTGTTTTAGAAACAGCCAAAGTCGTATGAAATCCCCCTGCTCCCCACCTCTCCTCCTGCTGAGCCACCTAAACAGGACTCCATGCTGGAGCCCATGGAAGAGAAGTAAGTTTTACTTAACCCAGTCCAAAAGGCTCCTTCGGCATCAGACATCTTTCTACCCAGGTGCAACTGGACAACAGGCTTGGTAAAGACTTAACCCTATGCCAGTCTTAGAGACGGCCTATTTCAGGGCCTCTGAACACACATCCCAACAGGGTCAGTGTTCCTTAGGTTCCCTTTCTGTCACTGGCGATGCCCCTTGGCTGACAACTGCACAACCCGTGAACCGGGCCCCAAGTGTCCTCTTTTTACCTGGGACAAGGAGAGTTTACTTGTGCACAACGTGACCCGCAAGCAGGTCTCAAGCATCTTCACCACACTCCTTTTGCTAGGGAGCCCCAGTCATGACGAGTGAACCAGGCCAACTTAATCAGACTATGGTTTCAGTGATTTAGCTCCGTCAGCTGCACTCTCCAAAGTCACAGCAAGAGCTAAGAGACCAGCTGAGATAGGCACATGGGGAGTGTGCTCTAGATGAGGGGTGGTCAGCCTGCACATGCACGGGCAGCCTCTGTGCGGGGCATGTGGCAGATCTGGGAGGGAGTGGAAAGCAGAGCAGCAGATTGGGAAGGGGATGGGGATTGGAGTGGCACGTGGGGAGGGTACGGGCTTCAAATCTGTAGCACACCTGCCAAAAAAAGGTTGCCCCTCCCCACTGCTAACCCAGTGCGTGTAGACTGGTATACGCAGAAGCATGCCATGAAAAAGTGGATGGGATGAGACCCCAGCCAGGTCAGGCCCACACAGCAGGATGAGATCCATGGACCAGATCCAACCTAAAGACTGCAGAGTGACGTGTGCCACTAATTTTAGTCTGGGGACTGTGCACTCCATGTATCAAACCATTACCCACAACTGGGGTTTCTGCTGCAGCACCGCTACCTTTTGGCTTCCCTCACACAGACTAGGACCTAAGTCCTACCATTTAGAGAGGGCAGGGAAGAAGGGAGCATGGAGCTATCCAAGGATACAGTAAGATTTGAACCTGGGGGAAGTCACCATTACGCTGGGAACAAGTGGAAAGAGCCAACACTGACACTTCTCTAACAGGATACAGATTGGGGACCGTTCAATTTAGGCTTTGGTACAGAGTCTGACAAAGCTTTAGACCTGGAATAAGAAGTTAACATCCCGGCAAGAATTCCTCTCACTGCGATTACCACTGCGCAGGTCAGTGGTTTGCTATGGCAATGGCTGCTTTGTCATCTGTATGTCAGACATCCCACAGCAGGGCAGCTGCAAGCTATGCAGAGTTAGCATTTTTAAAAAGGATTAGCTGGGAGTGCCTTTGAGCACGTGAGGGCCATTCAGCTTGGGTCAGTATGGGAAGAGACCTGGGTGGCCATTTGCTAGATTCAGAAGACAAGAAAGATGATCGCACATGGGACGACAGGGAGGAAGTAGGAATATTCCCCAAGGTCCAAGCAGGAAAGAGCAAAGCAAGCTTCAGACAGAGCCATGTGTAGTCCTTGCTCCCAGGCCAGACCCTGCCCACTTATTTAGATCTATCCTCGGCTGCATTAAAGGCTGCAGCAACTTCTAAAAGGGGAGTGCTTTCCTTGGCTTGCACAGACACTCAGCTCATTTTGAAAGCTGTTTCTCTCAGAGTCTACAGACTGACGCTGAATGCGTTTCCTATGCACAAAATCTCCATGAAGTGCTTACTCTGAAGGAGAATGATAGTTTAAATATCAAGGCCAATGTGGATTTGCAAAGGGCTGAAAGAGCACAAGGCTGCCTATTCATTAATCCATTTTTAACTGACAACAGAAGTCTCTACAAAGGTTAGTTCTGCATTAACAACGCTGCACAACCTCTCTTCCCATTTCAGACTGTTGATTTCTGCCAGGTTCAGGCAGCCAAGCCTCAAAACAGGGTTGTTTACAATGGTTGCTAAGTCAGGTTTCCCCATTTCCATCGGAGGCTGCCAGGTTGTTTTACAACAGTGCTTCTGTCCAGACCACGGCCTTGTGCACATCTCCGCTGGGGCATTTTGTTACCTTACGTTCTGGGTGGGATTCCACCTTTCGGAGGGCAGTTCTCCACTCTGTGGGTCATCTACCGGTGGGTGAAGAATTGAAATACATACGTCTCCATTCTGCAAAAAAGAAGTGGAAAGATTCAGTACATATTAACCACCTTATTAGAGCCACTGAAGTGCTGTTTGACCCAAGTGCTTTGGATAACTTTTGAACAACTAAACCCTTGGGAGTGGTGGGGAAAAAAAAAAGTTGGGATGGCTATGCCACTAAACTGCATGGGCAACAGCACTCAGTATAAACAGCACTCACTACTTTACATGTAGAGCCATGGTCTTTGCAGCTAAGGACAGTGAGCACACCAGTACTCGGCATTCAGTTTTTTGTTCAAGCCACTGAGCTATTTTTTTGCCTTGTTGCAGTTTCTAAAAATATAGGAAGGGTAGCAAATACTTAGGAAAAAAAAGTCACGAGTCCCAAAAAACCTACAATTCCTTAGTTGGTAACCGATTGCACCGACGGCTACAATATGTGAACAGCAGTCACGTGGGATCCAAGGTGTGAGAGCAGATTTTGCGTTCCAAATGGTCACTGCAATATCCACCTAAATCATGGTTAATCCTTCAAAGGACACAGTGGTCTACCCATGACCTTCACTTCTTGCAGAGGATGAAGTTAAGGGACTAGAGAATGTCAGCAAGTATAAAATAGCATTACCTCTCAGGCAAGCTCAGGGGGTGCAAGGTTTCTGAAGATACAGTTTAGCATCTTACTGCTTCCTAAGCAGTAGCAGAGATGCACACTGAACGCCGCACAAAATTGCACCCGAGTTGCACACTTGCTTAGCGAGTCTGTAAGCAAAAGAAAGGAGTAGCGTGTTTATTCCCTCATCTGGACTCTTACAGACGTGCTCTCCACTGGCAGGCACTCAGCTGACTTCTGAGCAGGGGGAGCCCTGGCAGTGCTCTTGCTGGAACGTGACAGTGGATCAGATAGGCTGGGATGGTGTTAAATATCTCCTTCCAGACTCGGTAACTCCAGACACCACATGAGACTACCCAGGAAAGGGAGATAAGGGGAAGGCAGAAGGTCTCTGAAGGATGCACAAGACTTGGCTGCAACATCCCAAAGGAAAAAGGGATTGTTGCAGTGCATAACTGAATCCTTTCAGCCATACAGCAGCACTTGTAGCCTGACCATCAGGGACACAGATGGGAAATGGCACATTTAAAATCTGCACCTCTAGTGTGTACACTTTTAGGAACCGTTCTGAATCCGTCTCACAACAAGCATGTGGATACAATTCATAGTACAGTGGCAATACTATAGGCAAGCTTGGCTTTATTCTGCATTTCACAGGAACAGCAAAGGAAGTTTGTCAATTTTGCCTCTACGCTTCCTACCTGCCCTGGGGAGAGCTGCCTTCCATTCTGAATGGATGCTCTTTGATAACAGCCCTCCCACCCCCTTTACACCAAGTTTATGCAGAGCGAGACCCCTGCTCTGTTCAGCAGGCTACAGAAACACAAGTAAAATGTACAGCAAAGTAAAGTGACAGCCAGTGGCCAAGAGAGCTCGTTCCCGTCTTGCATTTCAGCGATGATGCCTTCCCACCTTCTGAACCCGACTGACCCAGGTGGTTCGCTTTACGCTCCCAACTAAAAGCAGTATTGCCAGAGCAGGGGCCTGCCTACAGCACTCCCACTTGGAAAAGGTTTGCCAGAGCCCTGCTGTGACACTCTTAGTCATGGATTGTTTCAGCCTCAAGCACTCCTTCCCATTTATCCTTAAATGACTTATCAGCATTTCAGTAGCAATCAACAGCGAGTGCTGTCCTCCCACACCGGAGGAGACCCTGCCCTAGCCAAGAACTTGCACTCCAGGGGTATCACTGTTTCCCACCCACACTGCACCCAGCCTAACAGCTTCTCCAAGACCACAGCATCCCAGTGATTCCCCTTTTGAAGGAGTCAACAGGGTAAGCCACCTCCTGAGCGTCACCCATGCAATACAGACACAGGCCATGTTTATCTGGCACCGACTTCGAGGTGCAGCTTTTATGTTGCGCTGTGTTTCGGAGAAGTGGGTTGTAGCCGTCTTGGTCAAAGGACACAGGCAGACAAAGTTCTTTGGGTAAATGTGATCTCTTTTATTAGAGCAACTAAAATAGTTGGAAAAATTGTTCTCTGCAAGCTTTCAGGCACAAACACCCTTCTTCAAGCTGCTCTTGTCCTGGTGCCTGAAGAGAGGTGTTGGTTCTCTGCAGGCTTTCAGGCACAGGGACAACAGCAGACTCTCCCTATTCCTGAAGAAGGGTGTTTGCACCTGAAAGCTTGCAGAGAACAATTTTTCCAACTATTTTAGTTGGTCTAGTAAGAGAGATCACATTTACCCAAGGAACCTTGCATCTCACTGTGGTCTCTCAGGCGCACCATACATATAGTTGAAGGTTTCAGGTTCATGGATACCAGCCAAGCACTTAAGGCATGGACAAACTATGCCTAGTTAGCAGGGTGGAGAGGGGATGAATTTTCTACACAGCAGCTGATTCAAGAGCTGGGTCTGTGCACCTGCCCCTGTGTTACAGTAAGTGAAAGCCAAAACGCATGTAGCTTGAAACTCAGACAAACAGGGCTAAACTGACAGAGTTTAATTTTCACTTACTGTAGCATCAGAGCAGGCACACAGGCAGCTACGTGGAGCAGCTGAGCAGCAATTAAGCATCCCTGTGCCCTTTTCACCTGCTGCTGTCTGTTCCTTTGTCCACATGTTGAGTTGCTCACCTAAACGTACCAATGACACTCATGCTGTAGGGTTTGCTGGCTTTGCAGGATACTTCTCCAGCCAGGAGAGCAGTAAACAGAAGGACAACACAGCACCTTCGAGCTTCCAGATAAAGCTAGCAATGCTAAAGGTACAGAGAACACAAACCAGTTAATTCCCTTGTGGCTTTTCATAGGGGAAAGCAGCAGATTCTGGACTCGCCGTCCTTGCAACTCAGAAAGTTGTAGACGCGGAGGTTACAAACTGCTTATTAATACTACGCCCTGCACTGGCTGCATTAATGTTTCCTACCAGTGTGTACAGCACCAGCATCAAAAACCTGGCCCAGGAAAGTGCCGTTGGGAGTCCAGCAGAGGGAGGCTGAACTCCGGGAAAGGCCTTGGCAGCGACGCAAGGAGCAGCTGTAGCCCAGGGTAAGCACACGGATTTGCTGGTACTTTGCAGTGCCAGGAGGTCAGAGGAAGTTTAAGGAGCAACAGGGAGGGCAAAGGAGAAGCTCTTCCTTTTCAGCAGTGACGTCTCACCTGGCACCAGCAATCAGGGGACAGGGACAGCAAGGACAGGCCTGATGGGCTGGTACACGAGGCTAAGTGTAGCCGCAGGGAGAGGAGAGATTGTTATAAAACAGCTGAAGGATGTAAACAAAGGTGGTACAAGGGGAGTAACTGGATAGGACAAAAGGGGAAATTGTGGCTGATGATTACTGGGCTTCCCGAGGGTTGGATTTCACATGACGCCGAAGCCCTCTTGCTGGGGGACATTAAAGCTCATGTTAAGCACAGACCTGGCAACAGAAACAGACGGCCAAGGGAGCTGGATGTGGCAGATATCCGATTCCTAGCAGGGTGCGATTAAAATCGGGTTTCCTTTAAAGCCTATTTTAAATCAGAACCCCCTCAATGACTTCCCACGCTGTCTCATTAGCATCTTTTATAGAGCACTTGGATCCTTTTGTCCGCTGCACCTTACAAGACTGTGGAGCACGGCGAAGAGGAGACCAAGAGGTCGTCCAGTCCATCTCCCTGTTCCAAGGCAGGATTAGCCGTACCTCATCCCTTCCCGACAGGTGTAGGCCTAATCTGATCTGAAAAGCCTCCAGCAATGGAGCCCGTAACTCCTCTTGGTAATCTATTCCAGCAGCTGCTTCTGCCAATGTCCAACCTAAACCTCCCTTGTTACAGTATAAGCCCGGTACTTCTTGCCCTATCCTCAGTGGACATGCAACAGCCTTTTACATACTGGAGATCCACATCTCCCCTACGTCTTCTCTCGAGAGAAGTAAAAATGAATTTTGCTGCTTCTTGAGAACAGAAGTTAGAAGTTTCCTAAGACCCCTAGGCAGCTGCTGTTCTCGTCCAGACATTCAGCAGATCCATACCCTTCTTGAACTGGGGTGGGCACATGATTCGGCACTCACAAGGTCTCAGCTGGAGCAGAGTGAAAGGATTACTTCACATGTCTAACATATTGGGAGGCATAAACAGGAGCATCATGCGTTTGTTTTTGTGCAACAGTACACCACTGCTGACTCACACTGTTTGTGATCTGTAACCCACCCATCATCTGCGTAGTCAACTGCTCCCCACTTTGTATTTGGGCTGTTGATACATGCCAAGTACAACATTTGGGAATCGTCTTTATTGAATGGCACCTATTTCAGGCCACGTCTTCAGGTCATTTCGATTCCTGATCCTACCTTCCAAAGTTCTTGCAACTCTTCCCAGGGTAGGATCATTTGCAAGTGTACCTCCCCCTTCCACCTGCCAAATCATTAATACAAATATTAGCCAGTGTCGCAACCAGAACAGGCCCCTGAAGAGCCCCTCCTGGCACTGACCTCCCGGGTGGACAGGACACCATTGGTAACTACTCGAGTAGCCATGCTCCCAATTCACAGTAGTTTCATCAAGACCAGTGGGAGCCAACCTGTGCATCAGGTGTGCCACAAATCAGCCCCACGTCCTCCCCAAGTGCCACTCTGATCCTTTCCTCTGCTTTCCTCTTTCCTGCCCTGTGCTCCCTGCTCAGTCTGCTGCTTTGCTCCCTGTCCCATCTGCCACTATACTTGTCCTCTCCTGTCTGCCACATGCCAGACCTCATTTAGGCCCCCTCTCCCTAACTTATGGGAACAGCATGCAGGCCTGTATTAAAAGCCTTACTAGAGTCAAGATGCATCACATCACATCTACTGCTTCCCCCTCATACTGAAGGGCCTGTTACCTGGTCAGGGAAGGAAATAAGGGCATCCGATATGGGTTCATGGTGAATCCAAGCAGGCTGTTACTCATCACCTTTTTTATCTTCTTGGCACTCGCAAACAGATTGCTTGCTTGTTCCAATGGCTTTCTGGGAACAGACTTCTGGCAGCAGTAAGCCTCCAGCACTTCTGCCCATTTACTCTCGAAGGATTGTCATTTGTAGCTGTCCCGCTTCGCGTCCACTGCTTGGCCTTCCTATCTGTATAACAGCCCACTGATTCCACCTGCTTCAGATTCCCTTGCTTCTTCCTAGTGTCTTGTGTTTAGGGCCAGGTCCACACAAGAACCAAGCAGATGGTAGGTGCCTAAATCCAAACCCGTGATCAAAACCCCCTTGCTGGATGGCTGCCTGTAGTTGCCTCCCAGAGGCAGCTGCATCTGCTTAGCAAGTCCCTTTTTCACTCGGAGGTTCCCTAAACATCAGTTCTGCATGCTCCTGAACGAACCCAAATCTGAGATGCAAGGTGCCTGAACCCCTGCCTAAGCCCATTAAGGATTCACAAGCTAGGCACAGCAGCACCCAAGCCACAAGGGCCCCAATCTGGCAGGTATATTCTCAGCTTGCTTAATGTGTTGGACTGCACCAGTTTCAGTACAAAAAAATTCTTCAGCCACAGCTGCTTTCAAGCATACCTGCAGAGGCAGCAAGGCCTACCCTCCATACCAGAGCAGAGAGGCTCGAGGGGAAGACCTGCGTTCTAGGCCCTCCTCCACTCGAGGCACAAACCCACATCTCTCGCAGAATCCTCTAACCATCAGGCTACAGGCTGGATGGGTCCCTTCAGGCCAGACACTGAAGACAATTACTGTACAGCCAAGGGCGCGAGATTAACAGGGCCAGGAAAAGAAGAGAGGCCTTACGGGTGCCCCAATCCTAACCCGTTTTGCAGCCTGGAGGTCAGAGCACTGTCCAGTGAAGTGGGAGAACACAGCAGCCACTTCCGGTCACATTTGGAGCCGACAGCATGGATGCCATGTGCATCCACTGCTCAGCAGGCTCTGTGACTGCCAAGGGACTGGAAACTTGGACAGCCTTTATGCACCACCCAACACTCATCTACAATGCAACACAGCTTAGGTGGGAGTGAAGCACCTATGTGGCCAAATCTGGAGCCATGCTCCTGTGTGCTGTAGCTCAATGGGACTCCTTTTCAGCACCCGTCAGTGCTCAGCAGTAGGCCTGCGAGAAGAAAAAAAAAAAAAATCGGGAAGTATTCAATTTGGATTCAGCAGACAGCGATTCAATTTGGAAATTTGGATCACTGTACCAAATTGATTTGGCCAAACTGGCTTCGGAAGATTCGGTGCCGATTCAGAGATTTGGCAGTTCAGCCATAGAGTGTAATGGGGAAATCACTGAAATACCTATAACTGCCATTTTTGGGCAGATTTGGATGGAAACAGCAGGGATGGTAGCAGGCTTCATGTCATCAGAAGGGGCTGTTTCAAGGAGATAGGTGCAGGGGTTTTTGGGAAACTGCACCTCAAACTGCTGAAAGCAAAACTGGTGTTACTTGTGCATGCTAAAGCAGATTTGGATGAAACCAGCAGGGATGGTAGCCTGTAACAGGGGGCCTTCCCGGTGCCAGTAGATCTCTGCCTGCCCACTTGTTTCTGGGCCAGCTGCCTGCCCCTCTTTTGCTCAGGTAGAGGCAACTCACAAAAGGGACAGAAGGGCTGCAGACAGAGGCTTTTATGCTGTTTCTGTGTCCCTCCCCCAGAGCACTACGATTGGAAGGGGACTCAGGGAAACACCACAGTCACTGGCCAGCTACGGATGTCAGTCTTTTCCACCCTACTCACCCTCCCTCTTCTCAGTTTCCGTTCCCCTGAAAGACTGCCTTCTGAATCCCCACATTTTTCCAAATTGAGTCAGAGGGGTTTTTTGATCTCCCGATTCGATTCGGTCTTCAAATCGAAAATCGGTGACCGAAGCTTCGCACACCCCTACTCAGCAGCTACTGAATTAAAGCAATTTGGGGTTGAGGTCGACCTGGATCACATGCTGCAATGTGGCTGCCTCAAGTCATTCCTGCTTAGGTGCATGCAAAAAGCAATTTGGATTTGGCCCTGAATCCCAAATAAGCTGCCGTTCATAGTTTCAAATCCAGAGGAAGGCGTTTTCACAAGCGATTTTGATTAAATTTCAAAAGTTCATTCAGTCAAATATATGACAACTAAGCCACAACAGAGGAGGGTGCTTGAAGGAAGTGAGGATTAGTTTCTTAGATGTGGATTAAAATCCCCCAAAAATCTGTATAGGAAAAAAAACCCCAAACAAAACCACACAGCCTATCACACCCAAAACTAAGTTTCCCCCATTTCAACTTCCCCACCACGGCAGACTTGCAGAGCGGCTGCACACCTCTACACAAACCCTTCACCTCTAGTTAAGCAGCTGAACCTAAATTTCAAGCCACGAAGCCTAAATTGTGACACAGACACTTAGAATAGGGACAACGAAGGCACAGAGTGAAACGTTCAAGGCCATACGCATAAACCTTAAGACTCAACACCATTAACAGGAAAAAAATTCTTCAAAAGCAGCAAAGGTACCTTACCTCATAGATGTTGGGGTGCCACATTTTGGTCAGGAATCTGAAGGTAGGTGGTGAGTATGGATAGTCGATAGGAAATTTAATGTGAGCCTGCAACAACAACAGAGAGAACCTTAGTTTTCAAGGCACAGAACATCTGGAGACCACATCAGCATCTCTCATCTCCAGCCCCCCCAGTATGATCAGTCATAAAGGAAGCAAAATCCCCCATTTTAGACTAGTGCCGACGTGGACCTTTTGCACACAACAATATGGAGTTTAGCTCCGCCGAGCCAGGTGTGAGCGGATTGCTAATGGAAAAGGAGCACGTGTGTCCAGATGGAGTTCAGACTGGTCATTCCTGGCGAGATGGATGAGCATCTACCTCACCTTCAAATCACTCAAGCCACTCAAATCGGAGCAGTCTGAACTGTTGGGAATGGGTCTTTGCTGGTAATACTGGACAACCCGCGGGGGTTGTGGCAGTGAAAACAGCCCTGCAAGGTACACCTAAAACTAGGTATTTCAGTTAGCCAGTACTTCCACATCTTGGAACTCTCCACATTCAAATATAAGAAAGCTTGCATCATTTTTAGACCTGTGTAACTCATTTTGATTAAATTATAAATGTTGATAACTTCCTTGGATTATTACCAGTAAGTTGAGACACCCAGAGCTTTAAAAAAAAAAAAAAAAAAAATCAGCATTTTTTTTTAATTAAAAAAAGTGATGGCACAGAAGCTTAGACATCAGTAAGATTTTAATCTGTGCTGAAAGGTTATAGCCAGCCTCATGGAAATGATAAGGTTGTAGCCTGTGCTCCTTGCAGTCTCTAACACATCTCAAAGTCTGCCTTCACTCTGCTTTTACAGCAAGGACTCCTCTCTTCTGCAAGGAGTCATAGGTACCTGGTCCACGACACCAAGGGGCCAATTTGGCTACTGCTAGTTTTGTTAGCAAAATTGGCTTACAGTTCAGATAAGAGAGGAAGCAAGCCAGAATATGAATCCAATACAAAAGTTCAGCAAAATCCCAGGTAAGACCACTCCAAACCAAGTTTTTTTTTCCCCTTTTGCAATCTGCAGCTAGTAAAGCGACCAAAACGCTGGCTTGCATCCAGAGATGCTTCTCAAGCAAATCCCAGGATGTCATCCTCCCACTGTACTCGGCCTTGGTGAGGCCATAGCTGGAGTACTGCGTCCAATTTTGGGCTCCACAATTCAAAAAGGATGTGGAGAAGCTTGAGAGAGTCCAGAGAAGAGCCACACACATGATCAGAGGTCAGGAACACAGACCTTATGATGACAGGCTGAGAGCTATGGGGCTCTTCAGCCTGGAAAA